GTGTACGTGGCTGGCGCCTTAGCCGGTTGAGCTATAGGCGCCGAGCCAGAAAATACAATTTTTTAAAACAAGTAATAAAATATTTTCTCCCCTTCTGCATAAAAATTATGACACCTAATTTTTTTGTTATTACTATAATTAAGATTATAAATAAAATGATTTTGCTTCTAAAGTCATCAAAAGAAAGTTGTATTAGGAGATTGTTAACTTCAACTGCATCAATAAGAAGGTCATCCTTAAAAAATTTATTTTGCTTCTGGCTCCTATACAAACGGTTTTTTGGCTAATTTTTTATTTCCTTTCATATTGTGAATAACTAAAAAAAAATATAAAAATACAATTGGGAAGGAAGCTATCTCCTGGGTAGTTGTGTTTTGTTTCTAAGAAAATTGACTTTATATTTGAAGACCTGAATTTTTGGAGTTTGGGTACTGTGTTAAGTGTCTGAAGTAAATGTCTTTAAGTTAATATATCCCTGTATCTTTTATGATAGTTTGATATTTTCATATTTTTATGTCTGAAAAGTGGAAAAGAAAACCTTGAGAACTCATTCATAAATATGTAACAGCATTATTTCTAATTGTGGGGAAATAATTTGTATCACAAAGTATTTCTTATCCTATGGAGATTCAAGTTAATACTAAAATGCTAGGCTAAAAATTCAAACCTTTGAATACTGGCTGTGCTACTTGCCAACAAAGTGAGCATAAGTGAGCTGTTTTTATTCATACTTCTTATGCCAAATATGTGGAGTGTGTTCCTCACACCAACCAATTCTCCAATTCCAAATACCAAATGTCCTTCATTTCATTTTAATTCAGTTCTGGGTACTACCTACCTGGAGTTAGGGCTAGGTTCCAAGGGTCTGAGGGTTCAGTCCTACAAGAATGCCTTCCTGACTTCAGATACTAGTGACAAGAATCAGACCCCCAGGTTATCCACACTTCTGACCTACTTTACTACAAAGTCATTTAGTTCCTACGACTAGCTCCCCACTTGCTTTAAGATATACTAACTTTTCAGTACAGTTCCCAAACTCTGGGGAACACTTACACTTTACTTAACTATTACCAGGTTATTATAAAGGATATAACTCAGAAACAGCAAAATGCAAGACATGCATAGGGAAGGTATGGTGGGGAGGAGGTTCTGTGACGTCTTCAGATGCAGTACCCTTCCAGCACCTTGATGTGTTCATTATCTGGTAGCTCTCACTGTTCAAGATGGTTTGTAAAGCTGGATCTCCAGTCCTCCCCTCAGTAGGTAGGACTAACAGTTCAACCTTCTAATCACTTTATACCTTCCTAAGGCTAGATAGGAGGCCCACTTTAAGTCACCTTATTAGTATTAACTTTGCTGTGGTCTGAAGGGGATTGTTAAGAATAACAAAAAGTGCTCCTATCTCTTAGAAAATTCTCAGGATTTTAAGAGTTCTGTGTCAATAACCAGGTACAAACACTAAATATATTTTTGTGCTGTGCCACAATAGACTAGTTATTTAATCACTTTGCCTTATTTTCCTATAAAATGAGGAAATAAAATTACCAGGGTAATGCCTGTTAGCATTCAATGAGAACTACTAACTGATATTTTATGTAAGAGTTAACTTATAAGGGTTACATATTTTTTATTAGTTGCTATGCAACTACCAAATGGTCAAATGTACCTGGTTTGAAGTATATCCATGAAATCACAGTCTTGTTAAATTACTTTTTAATTTTAATAAAGTAAGCTTCATACTGCAACTGAAAGTTCAAGTTTTATATTTGTCCCCGAGGCTGAACAAAGCGTGAAGGCAAAGAAGTTTGAGGAAAAGGAAGAGAAATTTATTAATTTGCTGGCAAATGAGGATATGCAAACTCTAAAATATTAAAGAATGATTGTTCTCCTTTGAAACAGAAAATCGATGTTTATTTATTTATTTGAGACACAGTCTCACTTCTGTACCAGAGGTAGAGTGCTGTGGCATCATAGCTCACAGCAACCTCAAACTCTTGGGCTCAAGCAGTCTTCTTGCCTCAGCCTCCAAGTAGCTGGGACTACAGGTGCCCACCACAATGGCCAGCTAGTTTTTCTATTTTTGTAGGGATGGAGTCTAGCTTAGGCTGGTCTCCAGCTCCTGAATTGTAAAGATCCACTTGCTTCAGCCTCCTAGAGTGCTAAGATTATAGGCATGAGCCACTGTGCCATAGGCATGAGCCACTGTGCCGTAGCCATCAGTGTTTATTTAAAAGGGATTTTCTACTTGAGACTATTGCTGTTTATCTATAGCATCTCCAGTGGAAGACTATCTTGTGAACTCTGCCCAGATAATTCTGTGGAACAATCTCCTGTGGTTTAAGATATTAGAAAACAAAGAACACTCCCCTGCTCGTCTGATTACTGGCCTCACACAAGAATGAAGGTTTTTGTTGTTTTTGTTCTGGTTGGTTGGTTGGTTTGTTTTTGAGACAGTCTGACTCTGTTGGCCCAGGCACCAGAGTGCCATAACTTCAACCTAGCTCACAATAACCTCAAACTCCTGGGTTTAGTTAGTCCTCCTGTCCAACCTCCCAAGTAGCTGAGACTACAAGTGCCCACCACAACTCCTTGCTAATTTTATCTATTCTTCGTAAAGACAGGGTCTTACTTTTTCTCAGGCTATTCTTGAACTCCTGCACTCAAGCAGTCCTCCTGCCTCAGCGTCCCAAGAGTGCTAGGATTACAGGTATGAGCTACTATGCTGGCCAAGAATGTAGGCTTTAATTCTTCAAAAAGGGTAATGGGGGTGGCGCTTGTGGCTTAGTGGGCGCATGTGGCTCAGTAAGTAGGGCACTGGCCCCACATACCGAGGGTGGCGGCTTCACACCCAGCCCCAGCTAAATGGCAACAAAAATAGCTGGGCATTGTGATGGGTGCCTGTAGTCCCAACTACTCGGGAGGCTGAGGCAGGAGAATCGCCTCAGCCTAGGAGTTGGAGGTTGCTGTGAGCTGTGATGTCACAGCACACTACTGAGGGCAATAAAGTGAGACTCTGTCTCTAAAAATATATAAAAAAGAAAAACTTAAATTAAAAAAGAGGGTGAGGAGTTTTAGAGAGATAACTCCTAATATTGCCCCTTTTCAGATCCTTACTTCTGTTACATATTCCCCACTACCGATTTTGCCCTCCATATCTGTGGGAGGAGGGACAACATAATCATTGAACTACTTCCTGCTGAATTGGAGTGATGTTGTAGATGGAAGGTTTATCCTTTTTTTTTTTTTTTTTTGGAGACAGAGCCTCATCTGTCACCCTGAGTAGAGTGCCATAGTGTCATAGCTCACAACTTCAAACTCCTGGTCCTAAGCAATCCTTTTGCCTCAGCCTCCTGAGTAGCTGGGACTACAGACGCTTAACACAATGCTCAGCTAATTTTTCTATTTTTGTTAGAGATGAGGTCTCTTATCTTGCTCAGGCTTGTCTGAAGCTCCTGAGCTCAAGCAATTCAATGGCCTCAGCCTCCTTGAGACCTAGGATTACAGGCATGAGCCACTGTGCCCAACCAAGCTTTATACTTATTTATATCATTGCTCCTTCTGGGTTTTACAAAAAAGGTAACAGATTACCAGGTGAAAATAGCATAAGCACCAACTACATCTATAAGGGTTGGCGAGGGAAAATGGAAGATAACCTGGGTAAGAGAGATTTTACCCTGCTACCTAACTAAGACAATGGTTGGACTGTGGGTCTTTACTGTCACCTTGTACATAATGTCTGATACAGGGC